AAATCCGATATCCAGGGCTATAACCGGAAAGGTGTGGGTGTGGTTCGTACGCCTTCTCTTGGTTGGTTTGGAATCAGGGTTTTTAGCGAACTCCCCTAGGTGAACTTCCAGTAGTTCACCAATCCGGTTATAGCCCTGGATATCGGATTTTTGTCCTCTCACTTTCGTGCAAAAACACCTCCATCATGAGAAGGCAATAAGAAAGACTTCCTCAGCAGAGGCTATTTGAGACGCTTGGTCGTATCGGAGCATTTCGCGAGGTGTAACGGAAGGGTGACCAGCCGCAACACTAGATATCCACCCCCGACCGTACTGAGGATTTCGATAGGCTAACTTTCAGCGGAACGAGACCAAGTTCGAAGAATCCCGAGGCTCAGGTTTCCATCACTGAGCAGTAGGCTTCTGCGAATATGCGATTACAGCCCATCTACTGTTGATCACACGAATGTGTGTAATAAATAAAGTCTCTCTACCATGGAAAATTTTGTTTACATATAATAAAATCTAAAAAGGTAAACCGGAATCGGAGAGTTGCAGTTTAGAATCACAATATTCACCAGTTTAGTGGTGGTATTATCACAGACGCTGAAAACCGTTTATAGCCGATTTTAAAATATTACCTCAGTAGCTTGAGATCGTTTAGCGCAATACATCTATATGATTTTGCCTCCTTATTGACACGAACTGAAGGTTGAATGCAAAAGAAACGTCACTTGATCAGAAAGGTCGCATAATGTGATTGCTCTCTTTCGGCTAATTCTTTTTTTTGTATAAATGTGAAGTTTCTACTATTTGAATTTTCTTAGTCCACCGTTATTTTGGCCAATTTGAACAATCTTCCAGGGAGACGCTTTTACCATCGATCAATGTCCTTAAACATTCGCAGTGAGTGCCTGTTTTCTATGCTAATTATATTCTAATACAAGATATTCGCGTTCCTTATCGTCATGACAAAGATACTTTCGACTCGATAGATTTGAAATTCAAAGAACCACTTGCGCAATTCAAAGTATGGTTCACAGAAGCGGTTGATTCTGGTAAAGTTTACGAAGCGAACGCTATGGCTTTGGCGACTAGTACCAAGTGAGTCACTTATTACATCATACTTTTCGATCAGACGTCTATCGGCACCTTCATATGCCTGCAGTGGACAAACAGTTTAAAACATGTGGTGTTTTACGTTTTAAAATATAGACTAATTTTCTACTTGGCACATAATCGTGCCAACAAGGATGAGGCCATAGTCCCGTTTGTATCTTCTTCCAATATTATCTGTGCGAACACTTCCTTTTATTTTATTCAGATCAGGGATTCCCAGTGTTCGTTATATGCTTCTCAAAGACGTGGATGAACGTGGATTTCATTTTTTCTCCAATTACAACAGTCGCAAAGGTCGGGAATTGGTGAGTTTGTAACCTTTAAATTGTTTTATAAATTCATTTATTTTCCGCCCGTTTCTTTCAGGATGAAAACCCCAATGCGAGCTTGTTGTTCTACTGGGAAGCGCTAAACCGCCAGGTAAGACATCTGTACACAGAGAGCATGTTATATTCTCAGTACGTTTTTACCTTAGTATATCTTGTGGGCCTTTCCCATTGGTTCAAGCGCTTTCTGTGTGCATTAAATAATTACTAGCTTCAACAAGCGTGGCTTTTTCAATACTGTATTTTAATTAACTTCTTTCCGCACAAAAACGTGATACTTGCACTCATGTTGAGCAGGCGTGTGCTTTCCACGCGGGAATTTTTATAAATTCAGCTGTTTAACTCCCTTTACTTCCTTTTTGTTGAATATATAAACATAGTATCACTTTGGACAAAGAGTGAAGTGGCTAATCAAAGGGCTACAAAATAAGAGACAAGATCGAGCTGTTGTGATGGGACTCGAACTCCGATGAATTGTGACGGTGACCTACATCGCTTGATCACCACCGCCGGAGTTCCCTAATAAGTGATGTATTTACAACCCACCTCATCAATACCTATCAGAATCCACTGGACAACACCTCTGTTATAATTGGGGTTTTGCTGTTTATTCAAAGTGCGTGAATACTTTAGTAGACCCAATAGTGCACTGAATTCTTCATTTTTGGTTGCTGTCTCTTGGTCGACCATGGAGCAGGAGAGAATGAGAATTCAATCCTTGAGAATAAACGGAAAATGAGTGTCACTGAGCGAAGAAAATAAAGTGCATCAGAACTAGATAGGTACCGAAAATGAGTTAATGCACAAGCCCTATCTCAATTACTCTTCGTTCAAAACAATCGATCGGAGTGGACACATTAAAGCAAGTATGGTGCGTCTATCGCTGATAGTAACCACTTAACTAGTGCTCCTCTCCCCATCATTTCAAATGAAATTATCCAAGGTTAATCTCTGTTACAGTTAACTCCGTAGTTGCTTCAAATTCACTTAATGTTGCATAGAAAGTACTCTCGATTAGACGCAACAAATTATGACGATATCCAGTAACTCAGCTTACTCCACCTTCTTTCATTTTTTGATCCACTACCTACCAGGGCCATTTCTGCGGCTATTCATGTCCTGAATTATAATGGATTAGCGCACGTTGTCATAATTTGGAACTAGAACTATTTCTGCAAATATCCAGGAGGCAACAAAGATCGCGAGAGTGCATCGTTTTTGCTTTAGCTTTGCACCGCAGTTCACAGCAGTTTTAACAGATGACTCCACAGCTTGAATGCTCTTCAGTGTTCACTGAGTCCTCTCGTCGGTGCTTACATTCGCAGGAAGCAAAACAGCTTCGCTTCGGAGATCGGTTTTTATTTGTTTCTTATGATTCACTTTGGTTCCGGTTTCCATCGACATTGATGCAGATGCGTTAGATGTGGGTAGAATCTGCTTTCAGCGAATAAAAAATGCCCATTGATATTCTACCCACCTGACTACCGGGCAGCTGGGTGGTGGTGCAATGGTTTAGTCGCTGTCACTGGCATGCTTTAGACTCTATTGTCCGAGGTTCTAGCCCCGCCACCGCCACCCAACTTTGTTGGTAGGCAGGTTTACCGTCGCCCGGTTCAATACTTAGCCTAACCTAGTGGGGTTCAATGTGGTTCGCCACTCCAAGGCGGTGCTCGGTCGAGGACAGTTGTTTATTGAGGATTACAGATGGGACATCGCTAATTTGACATACATAACCATCATGATGAGACTTGCGTGGTGTGATGGCTTGCGTGCCTCAATGACCCTGCGAGCTATACGGATGGCTCCTCAACCGCAGATCCAATCATACCTGAAAAATCATGGGGGGAGAGGCCAAACGAAGATCAGTCTCACAAGGTCAGCTGCTTGGGCATCTCCTGGCTTCCTTTTCTATCCACACCCTCCCATGAAGAGGTCACTCCATTAAATAAACACGGTGAGGGGCAGTTTGCCGATCAAAAGAGCCCCGTTAGATGAACGTAGGAGCGGGGTACCTGGGGCTTCCTCTCGACGGTGGGAGAAGTCTTCGCACTTCATTGAACAGCTACCGCCCGCCCAAGCTGGGCAGCCCCAAACCAATAAGGTGCTGTCCCGTCCACGTTCCGCTTGTCTCACTGGGTGCATGAGGCTAAGGGCTGATCCCGAAAAGCGGACCGACAATCAGCGCACCAGCGAACAACAAACTTAACCGAAATTCAAAGGCCTTGCGTGACAGGTCTCTAGAAGCTCCCACACGGGTGCTTCGTTCACGCTCCCGCGTTGGATTTACGCCCCACTACCTTGTGGGTCAGACTTTTGTGTCAAAGGCTCCGGTTAGGGTTCCCAAAGAAAAACCCCTTCGTTGATGTAGGCAACCGCGAAGTATGCCATGCCCAAAAGTCCTAGGTACCCATTCGGAGAACCGTCTTTGTCAACTGTCTATTTGCTCTTCTCGCTCCCATACCTTAAGAGATGCATCCTGTTTTCGCCACCCATCGGATGCCACTCAGTGTTCAACTAATGAGGCCAACCACTCAGAGGCTATCAGATTTTTGAAATCAAAATCTCCTTTCCACCTAGCCGCATTTGATGTCCGCACACTGTATCAGATTGGTCAACAAGCCGCCTTAGCTAGAACCCTTGAAACTTTCCATATAGATGTATGTTGTGTCTCCGAAACACACATACAAGACCCTACTTCAATCATCTGCGTCCTCCAGGTCCAACCTCATCCTCACGCNCTCTCCGTGTCAGGCGATTCGACATCCGAAGCTCGCGGTGTTGCTGGTGTTGGGATTGCAGTGAATGTCAAGGCCGAGCGTTCACTTCTCGATTGGATCCCGGTTAACAGCCGACTTTGCGCCGTACGTTTGGATGGTTCAGCACGAGTCAACAGCTACAGAACGAAGCTTCGGTGTTTTTCGTCGTATCCGCCTATGCACCAACTGATTTTGGTATGCCAGAAGTGAACGATGAATTCTACAAGAACCTCTCTCAACTACTCTGAAGTGCTCGGTCAACGGACATCGTGGTAGTCGCTGTAAACTTCAATGACTAAATGGGATCCCTGGACAAATCAGGGAGGCTACTTGGAGGCT